TCCTCCTCCTCCTCCTCCTCCTCCCTCCTCCTCTGCCTCCGCCTCCTCCGCCTCCTCCTCTGCCTCCGCCTCCTCCTCCTTCGCCTCCTCCTCCTCCGCCTCCTCCTCCGCCTCCTCCTCCTCCGCCTTCCGAATAGTTTCGGGAAGCTGGAGCATCTGCATTACCAGTGCCGGGTTCTGTTTCAACCCCTCGACCTTTGGAGGGTCGGGGACGACGTCGGGGTGGTGTGGTGCATACTCCCCGTTTTGTCCAAGGGAAACCACGAAAGAGGTATGCACCAGGATCCCGTATACACCAGGATCCGCGTTCCTGTGCGAATTTCAGCGCAGGGTCGGAAAAAGCGTCGGTGTATAGAGCTCGTTTCCTTATAGCTAGGCCAACGCTTCTGAACCGAATTGCCAGAAAGCTGTCCCAACTTCTTGAGCACGCTCGCCCCTCCCAGCGTGAATGACAGAGATTGGCCAAGGCTTGTTTCACGGAACTTCCTGGAAGTTGGCCCACATTTCTTCAACGGCAGTTTTCTTGATCATACTTTCGGTTGTCCTGGGGGGTGACCTGATTGAGGGGTGAAGCACAGGGCCCCGTTAGGGTCTTTTTCTTCACTCCCCATACAGGCGGCCCGGATTAGTAGGTCGACCCTGCCGGCTCAAGGGTACCCCTTGTGTCCTGTGCCTCGCGGCACGTGCCTTCGTGCACTCCCATGGCGATGTGGCCCTCGGAAGGGTCTCGTGCCCTCTCGCGTGTCCTGGCCAATCCAGGCCGACTGCATTTATTTAGGCCACCCCCCTCATCACCACCCGCCCGAACTTCGTCGCGGGGGCGCCGGCCATGGCGGCCAGCGCGTCGTCCTCGTCGAGCACGGCGCAGCGGGCCACGGCCGGCGCTCGGGGCCCCTGGAAGCCGGAGCGGCGCCGCCGGAGGGCCATGGCCGTCGGGGGGAGGAACCGGTGGTCTGCGGGGGATGGGGCCTCAGCGTGTCCTCGTCGTCGTCGCTCTACAAGCGTGTCCTCGTCGTCGTAGCTCTACACATCGTTCATATCCAACTATTCGAACGTGCTTTGACTCTTTGGGGGGCCAAGATCCCTTCACGTCTAAGTGTTTAATCCTGGGCCTCTTCCTGGCCACCAGGGGGCCAGGAACAATTAGAAACGAGCACACTTAGAAATGAGCACGATTAGAAACGAACGACGTGTAGGCCTCCTAGATGGGGCCGGAGTAGAAAAGGATCGCGCCGCATCGCCGATGCATCGGCGATGCATCGGCGATGCGGCTCGATGTGAGCCCCAGTTTTCGCCAGGCCGACTTTGCCGATGCATTGCCGTCGTCGCCAGTACATCGCTGATGCATCGTCGATGTATCATCGCCGATGTATCGGCGATACGGCAAGATCACCCGACCCCATCTACTCGGACCCCATCTGGGAGGCCTCTAGTGACTAGCGCTCTGGACAGTGGGGGCCGGTGCGGGGCTGTCCTTGAGCCGACGCCCAGCAGCATCGCGCACAGGATAGTTGCGATGCCAGTCGTGCACTGCCGCGCACAGGAGGCATGGACGCGTGAACGCATCGGCCCAGGAGGCCAGCGGTCAGAGAACAAATGTGGAATGACGAGGGAGGGAGGAAGACTGACGGGGAATGGGGCGAAGATAAGAAGGGCTAACAGGCTGAACTTGTATTGTTCGAGGCCTCTTCTCATGGCGCCAACATTCGCAAAGCGGATTTCGTTCGGAAAACGATGGGGTGGGCCCGCGGTGTCCTGGAGAATTTCGTTCCGGATTTCGAGGCGAATTTCGTTTTTTTTGTTGGCCAGGAAGAAAGACCAAAAAGAGTACACGCGAAATTCACTTCATTTTTCGCTCGCCGCTTGGGGCAAAAATCCACGCAGAAATCTATGCAGAAATCCGCTGCAGCACGTCTGCAAGGCCGGCGCAATGACTCCTCACCCTAGAGCCCCATGTCTCCGGGCCCCATCGTATAAGTCCCGAGAGAAGAAACGGCACAAAAATACCAGGAAGTTGGATACGGTAGGGGCACTTGTTCAGGAATGCGGCCTCAGACTCTGGAGGATTCCTGATCTGATGAGGGCCGCGGTGATATCCATGGCCAGTCCACGATTGGAGTTCCACCAGCTTTTAGGCCCTGGATTCCTTATCCGTAGGTTCCTCCTCCTCCTCCTCCCCCTCCTCCTCCCCCTCCTCCTCCTTCTCCTCCTCCTCCTCCTCCCCCTCCTCCTCCTCCTCCTCCTCCTCCTCCTCCTCCTCCTCCTCCTCCTCCTCCTCCTCCTCCCCCTTATCCACTGCCCCCGCCGTAGTTGCACAGGCACGCTGGCGCACGGCTTTCCAGCGCCCGGCCCCCCTCTCATGGCGGGGAGAGGCGCCGGCCCTCCGCGGGCGCACATCCGGCGCGTGGCCCCCGGATGCTCCACAGACGTTCCTCGTCGGGAGCCTCGAGACGGGGGTCCGTGCAGACGGGGGTCAGCCAGAGCGCCGGATCTTGCAGGATCCTGCAGCGCCAGGGTCGCATTGACCCGGGCTTTGGGTGCAGGATATCCTGCAGGATCCCGCAGGGTCCTTCGCATTGGCCCGGGGTTGGGTGCGGGATCTTGCAGGATGTTGCAGGCCTGGTTGGCCTGGGTCTGGATTGACCTGGGTCAGAAGATCCCCGACCTCGCATGTCGTGTGTGTTCCAGTTTTCGGGTAAGCTTTCGGAGGTGTGCGCCGATCTCCAGGAGCTTATGTTTGGGTTGTTATGTGCACGCTGTTCATTTCAACTTCTTCGAACGTGCTCTGATGTTTTGGGGGCCAAGATCCTTTCATGTCTAACTGTTGAATCCTGGGCCCCTCTTCCTGGCCACCAGGGGGCCAGGAACACTTAGAACCGAGCGCAATTAGAAACGAGCACGATTAGAAATGAACGACGTATAATGGAGGATGACGATTAATAAGTGACCGGGGGTCGTGTTCACGCGGCTGCGCCCGGGATGACGATTAGAAAAAACCGGCCGCGGGCTGGAACACTATTTTTTATCGTTCTCCTCCAGTCAGAAAATTATGCAGAAATAGCAGAAATCTATGTTTTTAATCGTTCTCTCCCATTTTTTTGTTAATCGTCATCCTGCATTACTTCTTCAAGGTCACGAAGCTCTCCGGCGAGAGCATAGAGCTCGTCCTGGAGCCCGGGTGCCGGGTGTCCGAGCTCAAGGGCCAGATCGCCGCCCAGTGGCACGTGCCCCTGCCGTGCCAGGAGCTGGCGACGAACGGCACGCTGCTGCACGACGACGACCTGCTGTTCGCGGACATCCCCCGCGAGCAGGACGTGATCGACGTCACCCTCATCTCGAAGAACAGAAGACGGCATAGACTTATGTCGGGCGTGTCCCCCTACAGTGGGGTTTTCGACGAAAACTCAAAAATGCCCCAAGAATGCCCCCAAATCTTCCAAAGATATGCCAAAAATAGTCCCCAGACGATTTCCGGGCTATTGTTTTGATTATTTTTGGGGTATTTTTTATGTTTCGTCGAACATCTCCCTGTAGGGGGCCAGGCCCGACTTAAGCATACCGTCGGGGTCCTGAAGAAGGAACCCTCTTGGTTGGGGAGGGGCTCCGCGTTCCTCGAGTGTTTCGCAGCTTGCCTCAGGTGTTCCTTACGTTTTCGATCGGAGGTCGAAGTTTAACTTATGGAAAGAGGGGCCTCGTTCCTTGTTTGGGGTTCCTTAGGTCAAGGCCCCGACTGCAGACATGCACCGTCGAGTGCCCGCGCGAAGTTCTCGGGTCGCCGGGCCTCCTGCCTGCCGGGGGGGCCCAGCGCCGACCACGGAAGCCCGTCGAGGCCTCACGGACCGTCCTTCCCCCCCTCCTCCCGCGGCGCCTCTCGCGGAGCCCTCGCCCTCCTCTCGCTCTCGTGGCTGGTGCCTCGCCCGGGGGAGGGCCCTTACCCTCAGGGGGAGCGCGGGCAACTTTCAGCATCGCGCGTGGATCGGGGGTGGACGGAACCCCCAACAGTGGCACGTCGATTGGTGAATTGTCCGTTTTCGGTTCTCGAGAGGGCGCCGTGGCCGTTATTTTCCAGGCTTGCGCCGGCCAGGTTTGGGCCTCAGGTCGTTTTCACTAAACCACGTTTTGCTAAAGGGGGGTCTGTCCATCCCCGAATGGATTGTATGGGGAGAGAAAATGTATGTGCAGTTGTCTGTTCTTCTGTCGTCTTGACGCACGAAAAGATGGCGCAGCTGATCGTCGGCAAGCACCCGAAGGCGCGGGACGAGGCGATGCAGGCCCTCGCGACTTTCGCCATGCGGGACCACAGGTCCGCCCGCCGCCTGGTGAAGCTGATTCTCGACAAGATGACCGAGAAGGCCTTCCGTCAGTTGGAGGGTTTTATCCCAGGGCAGTGCGCAGCTCCGCCAGCCCCCGCACACAGGAATTCATGGCGGTGTCTCGGGTTCCCCAGCGGTCAGCGGTTACAAGGGAGGTAGCTCATGAGGAGGATGTGCACGACGAGTCGCGAGGTGACGGGGGAGAGCAAGCTGTGGAGGCGACGACGCGGAGGAGCATCGGGAGACGGTGTGCAGGAGGTAGGGGGTAAGGAGGACATGGCTCTCGGATGGCTTCGACTTTGCCATCTCTGGATCAGTGCGCTTCCTGGGCAGTTTGACTGTTCGGCTGTGCTTTGGCCTCGGGCGGCGAAGGAGGTAGGGGGCAAGGAGGACATGACTCTCGGATGGCCTCGACGTTGCGCCATCTCTGGATCCGTGCGCTTCCTGGGCAGTCTGACTGTTCGGCCGTGGTTTGGCCTCGGCGCGCATGTGCCCGAACACGCTGGGGGGCAGTGTGGGGGCCGTTGTGGTGAGAGTCAACCTGAAGTTGCGGGTGGTGATAGAAGCAATGCCCAGGTCCCAGAGCCCACGCACGCCAGAAACAGGGGAAAGGAAGGGGGGAGGTGAAAGCAGAGCCAGAAGCAGCGCATGCCGATTCCGCCGTTGCCAGGAGACGGCGCTTTGTTCCATCACCCGTAGCATGACATTGGTTTGGACAGTCATTGCCCTGCTATGTTGCCTCCTTCCCTGCGTTTTCTCTCCTTCCTTCCCTTTCTTTCTTTCTTTCTCTCTCTCTCTCTCTCGCTCTTTCTGTCCTCGGTGCTGCCTTTTCCCGCCTCACCTCTCGTCTGTCGATTGGCGTGGTGTGGACGACGCCTCTTACTGGCCGTGGCGAATTTCGTGTCGCCTGTTTATCGGCCCCGCGTCGTGCAGAGCCATCCCTCGTACAGTGCCGTTTTTAATACATGCTCCGCGTGCGGATCATGTATTGAACATGCAGGGATTTAGTATAAAAAGCAACGACGAGTTCGAGCATACATTTATTCGTAAATTAATCATGTATGAAAATCCGATATAAAAATCCTATGTGTTAAAACTGCCCTCGTGCCGTGACTCGTGACGAGCGGCTGCGTGGAGGCGCTCGACCAGCGCAGGGCGGCCTCTCCACGGTGCCCGACGCGTGCCCGTGTGGTCTCCAGGCTGTGAGCGCTGCCGAGGACGTGCGGACGCCACGCTCATAGCCTGTCAAGAGGCCCTGCTGGGCAGCTGCCATGTTTCTCCCAACCATCCCGTGGTGCTGGCTCCTCGTTCTGAAGAGGCGGCGCGCCGCGGCCCACCTCCTCTCCTCCCCCTCCCCCCTCCTCCCTGGCGCCCACCTCCACCGAAGGCCCCAGTGGCAAAGTTCGCATGCGGTTCCACCTCCAGTTTGGCAAACCCCGCACACGCTTGGTGGCCCCATAGGGAGCTCCACCGAAGGCCCCAGCGGCAAAGTTCGCATGCGGTTCCACCTCCATTTCGGCACACCCCTTACACGTTTCGTTGCCACATAGGGAGTTCCACCGACAGCCCCAGTGGCAAAGTTCGCATGCGGTTCCACCCCCATGTCGGCACAACCTTTACACGTTTGGTGGCCCCATGGGATTCTCCACCGAAGGGCCCAATGGCAAAGTTCGCACCTCATTTTGGCACACCCTTCACACGTTTCGTGACCCCATAGGGAGCTCCACCGAAGACCCTAGTTGGCAATGTTCGCATGCGGTTCCACCTCTATCCACCTCCAGTTTGGCGCGCCCCTCATGCGGTTCCACCTCCATTTTGGCAAATCCCTCACACGTTTGGTGGCCCCATAGGGAGCTCCATTGAAGGCCCCAGTGGCAAAGTTCGCATGTGGTGCCACCCCCATTTTGGCACACCCCTCACACTTTTAGTGGCCCCATAGGGAGCTCCACCGAATGCCCCAGTGGCAAAGTTCGCATGCGGTTCCACCTCCAGTCTGGCACACCCCTCACACGTTTCGTTGCCGCGTAGGGAGCTCCACCGAATGCCCCTCTGGCAAAGTTCGCATGCTGATCCACCTCCATTTTGGCCCACCCCTCACACGTTTGGTGGCAACTGAGGTTGCTCCACTGAATGCCTCAGTGGTAAAGTTCGCTTGCGGTGCCACCCCTATTTCGGCCCACCCCTCACACGTTTGGTGGCCCCACAAGGAACTCCACCGAAGGCCTCACTGGCAAAGTTCGCATGCGGTTCCACCCCCGTTTCAGCACACCCCTCACACGTTTCGTGGCCCCGTAGGGAGCTTCACTGAAGGCCCCAGTGGCAAAGTTCGCATGCGGTGCCACCCCCATTCTGGCACACCCCTCACACGTTTCGTGGCCCCGTAGGGAGCTTCACTGAAGGCCCCAGTGGCAAAGTTCGCATGCGGTTCCACCCTCATTTCGGCACACCCCTCACACGCTTCGTGGCCCCATAGGGAGCTCCACCGAGGGCCCCAGTGGCAAAGTTCGTATGCGATTCCACCTCCATTTCGGCACACCCCTCACACGCTTCGTGGTCCCATAGGGAGCTCCACCGAAGACGATACTCACAGCTGCGGCACCCACAACTGCATATGGCTGGGTCCTTCGCCAGGCTAATTTGTTTTTGCCCCCTCCATGCCTCATTGGGTCACCCTGTGAATCTTCAGGCGGCCTGGCCCTTCTGCGACAACTTGGGGGTGCTCCTCTTGGGTTCTTGTTAGGGTCCCGTGCAGGTAGCCAGCATTCTTAGAGCTCCCAAGGAGTTCTGAAGAAGCAGGGACGAGAACGCAAAAGTCAGATCGAGAAAGCGACAGTGAGGTCTCTCGGTGGTTTGGGCTTCTCAAGGCCATGATCGATTCGGCGATCTCGGAGACAGATCGGGGCGAGTCAGAGCCATCATGAAGCTGATCGTGGCGTATCTTGGCCCATCTTGGATGATTTGAGAGGGCTTCCAGGATCATGTTGGGCCACGTCGGATCCCTCCTGAGCCACTGGGGGAGGGGCCTGAGAGGCCCAGCAGGCACCTGGAAGCCTCCAGGGCCTGGGAGTGGCGTCGGCGAGCTCTGCCCCGCCCATACCAGGTGGGACGGGGGGGGGGGAAGGGGGAAGGGGGACTCCTCCTCCTCCTCCTCCTCCTCCTCCTCCTCCTCCTCCTCCTCCTCCTCCTCCTCCTCCTCCTCCTCCTCCTCCTCCTCCTCCTGGGGGGAGGTGGACAGTCGCTCGTCTCACAGGCCTCATCACACCTGGCGAGCGGGGGCCGGCGGATCCCCAGGGGAGACGACGTCCTCATTCAGGAGATGACGGTGTCAGAGGCCAAGGCCAGGGTGGCTGATCTGCCAGGCTGCCTCGGGTTCACGTTCCGCGGGCAGCCTACCGGCGACCCCGTGAAGATCTTCTTCAAAAGGAAGGCCTTCGTCAAGGGCGTGGACTGGACATCGTTCATATTCGACCGCCACGACGGCCGGCAGGAGCTCCTGATCCGGGAGCTCAAGAACCTCGAGAGGACCTTCGACTTCCTGATGCTGTCCTCCCAGGAGGACGCGCGCGCGACGGAGACGCTCCGCGAGCAGCTCCGGGAGTCGGCGCTGACGGACCAGGCCTTCGTCTCGGCCGCGCAGATCATGCTCAAGGTCTGGCCCGCGTGCGTCCCCCCGGTGCTGGAGGCCATCCTGGCCCGCCTGCAGAGCGGCCGGGGCCTGGTGGGCGAGGCGCAGCTCCTGAAGGCCCTCAGCAAGCACAGCGCGCGGCACGACGAGGCCGCCATCGCCGCCTACTGCACGTCCCTGTCCAGCACCATGGGCGACGCCGTGGTCGTGGCGGCCAAGGCGCTGCTCCAGCACGCCCCGCCGGGCCACGCGCGGGCCGTCGACGCCCTCGTCGCGTGCGTGACCAGGCATTTGTGGTGTTCCAACCTGCTGCAGCCCGGATCACCAGCAAAGAATTCGAGCATCAAGAAAGTACCGAAGCATGAGGGAGTTCCCTCGTCGGGCCCTGGGAGGCGCTGGTCGTTCGACTCTGATTCGATACTTTTTGCGCGTGCTCGAAATCATTTCTGGGGTCTGGTCCTTAAGTGCGATGGGAAGAACATACGGCCGAGCATATGATTAAGAAGCCTCCTTCCGAAAAGTTGGGCCAACGTTTCTTGGCCAACTTGCCAGGGAGCCGGCCCAGCTTCTTGAGCACGTGCGCCCCTCCAGCGTCAACACGAACACTTGGCCCAGGCTTGTCTTGAGGAACTTCTGGAAAGCTGGCCCACGTCTCTTCACTAGTTCTTTTCTTAATCGTATGTTCGGCTGTGAGACCAGGCTCGGGTGCTGCGTGCAGTCGCCGATCCTGCGGGCACTCTGCCACGTCGCGCCACGGGGCCACCGGGGGGCCATCGCCGCGCTGGAGGCCTGCCTCACGGCGCGGCCCCCCGCGAGCGTGGCCGCCCGCAGGCACGTCGAGATCCAGGTGGGCGACGCCGGAGAAACGGGGTCGTCTGCGCCGACATTGGCGCGTAAGCTGCCCGCGCAAGGTCGCGCGTACGTAAGCGCCCTCGTCTCAAATGTAGCATGCCGCGCTGGCGGCCCGCGTAAACCACCGCGTAAGGTCGCCACGTCATCTCGCGTAGGGCCCGTTTTCGATCGTCGCCCAGGTGCAGGTGGAGCAGGGCCTCAAGCTCCTGAGAGCGGAGCCGGAGCCAGAGCCGCTGGGGAGACAAGAAGATCGATGCCTTTACTCCACGGACCTCTCTCAGGGTGCGTTCTGGCCAGGATTTCGAGGCGAGCCCAGCTGCGGAGACGAGAGGTGGGGTAGCGGGATCGGCACCTTCTCCTACGAGGAGCAGCAGCAGGCCCCCGCCGCCGGCGGAGGCCGAAACTCCGCCCCGCAGCCGTGCGCCTGGCCCACAGGCAGCTCGGGCTCGCAGGCGTGGTGCACCCGCGACGAGGTGGGGCCGCAGCTCCGCTTGCCCGGCGAAGCCCTGCGCGGCGGCTTCGCCCACGGGAACGCCGGGCCGCACCCCGGCAGCTGGGCGCAGCCGGGCAGCCCGGGCAGCTGGGCGCAGCCGCCTGGCAACTGGGCGCAGTCGCCGGGAGGCCAGGCGCAGCCGCAGGGCGGCTGGGCGCGGCCGGGCGGCCCGGCGCCACCGCCGAGCGGCTGGGCGCAGCCCCAGCGCGGCGCCGCCGCGCCCTGGCCGCAGCCGCAGCACCACTGGCATGGCTGCGCCGCGGCCCCTCCGCCGGAGCAATGCCCCTGGCGCGGCGGCGCCAGCCACGCCTGGCCGGCGGGAGGCGCTCTGGTGGAGTCGGGGAGCGGCAGGAGGAGGTCCAGAGGGAGGACGTGGAGGCGGAGGAGGCACGGCAGGAGCAGGGGGAGGGCGAGACGGAGGACCAGCAGAAGCTCGAGCGGACGGAGGACCAGCAGAACTCGAGGACCAGCAGATGAGTGGGGCCAGGATGCGCCGCAGCACGGAGGAGCAGGAGGCACAGGAGATGTGGGAGGAGGAGGAGGAGGAGGAGGAGGAGGAGGAGGAGGAGGAGGAGGAGGAGGAGGAGAGAGGGAATGCGGCGGACAAGGAGACCTGGCGCAGCAGCGCCAGGTCCTGGCGCAGCAGCGCCAGGTCCTCCTCATCCCCCTCCTTTTCCTCCTCCTTCTCCTCCTCCTCCTCCCCTCCCTCCTCCTCCTTCTCCTCCTCCTCCTCCTTCTCCTCCTCCTCCTCCTCCTCCTTCTCTTCCTCCTCCTCCTCCTCCTCCTCCTCCTCCTCCTCCTCCTCCTCCTCCTCTTGCGCTTCTCTATTCTCCTTGCCGCTCGCGCCCGTTCAGGTCCTGCAGCTTCTCGGCCCCAAGCTTGCTCTTCTCGCCCCCCGCTCCCCCCGCCGCGCGCGCGCGCGGCCAGGGCGCCAGGGGGCTTGCGGTTGCCACCGCCGCGCAGGTTCCTCTTCACCTACGCGGCGGTGTTCTACTTGCTGGGCTACGAGCTGCTTTGGGCCACTGCCGCAGGCAGGGGTCCCAACGCTTCCTCCGTGATCTGGCTGGTTCGGGGTCGCTCTTTCACCCCGCCAGTCAGAGCTCGGGTGGGGGTGGGCCGGCTGCCTCCTGTGGGCACCCGGCAGCGGCGAGTGTGCACACTCTCCGCTCGGGCGCCGCTGCCCCCCTGGCAGCGCGCGCCCGTGTCATCTGGGCGTGGCCCCAGCCAGGCCGTCCAGGCAGGCGTCTGACCTGCTCGCGGGTTCCTCCCGCGCCTGCCGCAGCTGCTGCTCGTGTGACGCTGGCTTCTGAGCCCCGTCCCGCAGGCTCGGCATCCGATGGCGCCTGCCTCCCTTTCGCCGCTACAAAACTCCCCTCCTTCCTCTTGCCTCTTCCCCTTGGACCCCGGAGCGGACGCCCATCTGAGGAGAGGAGTAGGAGGTGGAGTTCCCTCGCATCACGAGGAGGCCGCGCCATCGGCCCGGAAGAAGAGTGCTCGCGCTACGCCCGTTGCCGGCGCCACTCAAGGGTCGAGCCCGCCCGCCGCCGAACGGTCTATTGCTCGCGCCACGAGTGTCGCCGCCGCCTCTCGGAACACCGCCCGCCTGGCAACAGGCGGAGAGGCCACCGGCGCGAAGATAACGGCGTCCAGGACGGAGGAGTCGGAGTCGGTGGACCCTCTCTTTCTCCACTCCCCCTCTACTCCTCCCCCTCCAGTCGCCGCTTCGCCATGGCTCAGCTGCCGTTCGCGGCATCGTTTCCCTCGCGTGGGCAACGACAGGCGCGCGCGCGCCCAGGGCCCTTCGGGCGGATCGGGACCCAGCGGATTTGAGGGGGTTGGCATGCGCCCTTCCAGCGATGCTGCTACGGCCCCGCAGGGGAGGGGTCGTGCCGCCCACTCAACCGTCGGCCTGGCTCACCAGTCTGGCCGCCCGCCGCGAGCAAGTTTTCTGGCCGCCTCGCCCGCTCCCGCGGGTTTTCGGCCCCCTCCAGGGTCGGAGCCGTCGGTTGTCGAAACCAGGCGGGGCGGGAGCTCTGTTCGTTTGGCAATCACCCACGAGCTGTCGCGCGCGGTGCCTCCCCCGCCTACTGTAGCGGCGGACGCTGTGGATTCTGGCGGTTTGGAGGGGGTGGGTATGCGCTCCTCCAGCGATGCTGTTGCGGCCCCGCAGGGAGGGGTTCGTACCGCTCCCCCAGCCGCCACCGCAGTTAACCAGCTTAGCACCCCGCCGCGAGACGGTCCCAAGGCAGCTTTGCCCTCGCTTTCGGGACTCCAGCTCCCTTCAGGGTTGGAGCCGCCGTCACAGACGCGTGCCGAGCGCACAGGGCCACCGCGGAGCAGTCCCAGAGCCGCCTCGCCGACTCGCGCCAGCTTCCGGCCCCCCCCTGGGTTGGAGTCGCCGTTACAGCCGCGTGCTTGGCGGATGGGCCCACCGCCTGGCTTTGATGCACGAACACCAGCACTGCCGGCGGCAGCACCAACGCCTGCGCTTACGCCGGCACCAGCGCCAGCGCCTCCTCCTGCGCCGAGGCCGGCACCGATGCCTGCACGAGCGCCAGCACGGACAGCGGCAGCACCGACGCGTGCGCTTACACCAGCACCAGCGCCAGCGCCGCACCGACGTCAGCATCAACGCCAGCACCTGGCGGCGTCAGCACCGACGCTTGCGCTTACGCCGGCACCAGCGCCAGCGCCTACGCCAGCACCGAGGCCAGCGCCGACGCCAGCCCTGACGCCAGCACAGACGGCGGCAGCACCGACGCCTGCGCTTCCGCCGGCACTAGCGCCAGCGATTACGCCAGGGGGCGCTTCGACAGTGTTGCCCTTCCACCCGCCACCTGGGTTTGAGGCGCTGTCGGGCCCTGCGGTCTGGCAGGTGGGGCCATCTCCCTGCCTCGCTAGCCTGGAGGCGGGCGCTCGGGTGCCGCCGCCGCACAACCGTTGCGCGACCGACGCCGCGGTTGGGTTTCCTTTTCCTGACAGCGGAAGTGGGCAGTCGGCGATCCCCTGCCTAGGGGCCTCACCCCTGCCTCCAAGGGAGCCGCTTGCGGTCAGTGCCTCCCGTGCGAGCGCCCACGCCATCTTGCACTCGCTCGGGCTACTCGGGAATCCAACCTCGGCGTCGACGGACCCCGCGTCCCTGCCAGTGTCGGCCCCCTTGTTGTCAGGCGCTACGCGACATGTTTCTGCTGCTGCTGCAGATGGTTTCGGGGTAGCTGGTACCTGCCTGCCGGGCGCCGCTGCTTCGGCGCCACAGAGCACGGGTCGCACCGATCCCTCAGCCCCCGCCGCAGCTCGCGATTTGGGCACGCCGCCGCAAAGCTGTCCTATGGCCACTTCGCCGTGTCTTCCAGGCTTCCTGCCCCCACCAGGGCTGGAGCCGCCGTCACGGCCGTGTGCCTCGCGTCGCTCTGGGGGCGCCCTCCGCGAGGCTAGAGGCGCTCCAGCCCTTCGCCGACGTGGCGGTTCGTCTGGGTTTTCAGCCATTCGGGATCGCGGCCACGTTGGCCAGGGCACCTGCGCCACCTCATCGCGTCCAGCTGCGCGCTGGGACCCCAGCTTCGGCGCTCGTCTCAGCGTGGGGGAAGGCTCGGTCGAACGCCCCTCCGCAGGCGCTCCCGCCTGCCCCTCCCGCGCGCGTCCCCCCGCCACTTGGGCGGGCCGACCCCGCTGCGGTCGCCGGCTCCGCCGAGGGGGTCGCAGGGGACGCACTGGGGCTGCCTGCCGAGGCGCCCCAGAGGGCTCTCGATCTGGCTTTCATCTGCCAGCGGGAGGCGCTGCAGCGGTGCATGTTCATCGTCCAGCTGGTGGGGGGCCGCGGCTACCTCGGAACCGCATGGTTCCTCACGGGGATCAAGCCCCCCCCGTGTCGCGTGACCTGGTGCGGGTGGCGGCAGGCCCTTGCCGCGCCCGTTCCGCCGGCTCCCAGGCCGCCGGCGGAGCCGCCCTCCACGGCGGCGCATCCCACCACAGGGGTGGACGCACGCGAGCTGCGTGCACCGGCCGAGGGTTCACGCAGCGGCGAGTCGCTGTAAGCGACGACGCTGCTGCTGCCAGGCGTGCCTGGGCTGAGCGAGGCCGTGAGAGTAGGCACGCGCTCCTCCAGCGATGCTGTTGCGGCCCCGCAGGGAGGAGTTCGTGCCGCTGTCGCGACTCTCGCTCTACCCCTGGCTCCCCTTCAGGGCCGAGTGGCCATTTTGGCAATTTTCACCGTGCTGCCGAAGCCCCTTCCGACGGGGACTCAGGCGCACCGCCCGTCGCTTCCATCGGTTCTGTTGCCAGTGGGAACCCCCCTCGAGTCGACTTGTCCTCCGGGGTCACTACCGCGCCACCGGCCCCTCGAGTTGACCTGTCCTCAGGGGCCGCTGCCAGTTCCGAAGCCTCTCGCGTTGACTTGTCCGCGGGGGATTCGAGGCCGTCTGCACCTACCGGCACCACGCCTTCCTTTCCCAAGGTCGCGCCCTTTGTCGCTGACCTTTCTGCCTTGCTGCGCCTGTTTCCTGGCGCGAACATCGATATCACCCATTGGGCTGCTGCTTTAGCTCAGGTTGGGATGGGTGCTCGTTGTTCTCTGTCGTCTTTCACCCGCACCTCCCTCAGCGCGTCGGCCCGGGACGGCTCGTACGTGTTGGAGCCGCCTCCCCGCGATCCTTGGCCGTGCCCTCCAGCGCCTTCTCTGCCGCCGCCTCCTGTAACCTTGACGGGTCGCGCGCGCGAGCGGTGGCGCTTGAGGCGCGCAGCGCGCACCTTAGCACAGCACGCCGTTGTTGCGCTAAACTGGCTCACCTTGGGCCATCCCAGCCTCGCTCCCATCGAGGCCCATGTGTGCACAGCGGCCACGCCCTGCCAGGAGGGTACTCGCGACCGCCTCGAGCGGTTGTGTCGGATCGCAGTTCGCCTTGCCCGCGGCGGCAAGAGCGACTTAGGTCGGGCTTTCTCCAAGTTCGACGCCACTGAAGTCTCGCTCCATGGCCTGGCCACCCATGTTGCAGCTATCGAGGCTTCCTTCACCTCCTCTTCCCAGGTGCCCGCCCCCATGCGGCAATGCCCGTCCAGCGCGCCTCCTGTGCCTGGATCGTTGGCTTCAGCGGCAGGCTGGGACTCCACCCAGTCTGAGCCCTTCGACCTCCGAGTCAGGGCGTCCCGCATCAAGTGGGATTATTCTCCGACGTTTGATCCCACTCCCTTCCTCGCCGACGCGCGGGTCCGCAAAGCTTTTCACGACCCCGAAACCATGCGTCTTCCGTCGGCCGAGTGGCCATCGGGCCTCCCGGGGGCCCGCGTCCACATGGACCGTGATCAGCTGTGGGAGCTTCTTCGGAAG